GGAGCTGAAAGAGAAAGAAAAATACCGGATGGTTTCACTCATAGCAGGAGTATAATGGACCAGGCGAGAAAATAACAATAATGAACAGCCATATAACAGAGACATTTTGTGGGGGTGGAGTGGGGAATGGGATAAAAAACGGGGGGTGGGGAGGGAAGTGCACGGGATTATGGTGATGGCACACGGGTGACTGGGTGACGGGAAACCAGCGGGGATTACAATTGAGATTTAAAAAAATTGTACAAAATGATGTAAAAATAAACTATTACATAAAAAAAAATAAAGTAAAATAAAAGTCCGGGTGCCCCCCAGGCCACTCCCCATCAGCCAAACAAAAATCTCCAGAGGCACCTAGCATGGATAAGATCCTTAAGCCCACCCCCACCCAGCTAAAGCCCAACACGCAGGCAAGTTGGAGGACTGATGTTTCATAGGTGTCAGCGAAGAGACCAGAGCCAGGGTCTAAGGCCAAAGAAGCCCACACACTCACCACTCAGGGATGAAAGCACCCCTCTCGTGCAGCCACGATTCCCTAGCACTCACAGAGACCCCAAAACATTCTGGCAAAGGCGCCTCACAGAAGTCTGTGGGGACGAAGGAACCAGACAGCGCATGGGCCTTCTCAGGCAAGGCATGACTAAGACGGCAGCTTAAGGACAGGGCCTGAGCGCTGGCTCGGGGCTGCAGGAGGCTGGCTCAGCGACACAATGGCACTGATGAGCTGCTCCAGTGTGTTCTAAATATACTGACAGCCGCCGGGAGCACAGTTTTGGAGTGCTGATATTACCACGCCAGGAACAGATCTGACCATAATGACTGAATCACCGCCACCTAATGCTCACATACATCAAAAACAAAACAGAAATCAGACTCAGCAATAGTCCTTGAAAATAACACAGAATATCTTTTTTTTCCAAAAAGCATTTTCAGCAGTATGGTAATTTCCCCAAATAACAATAAATAAAGTAGAGGAAAGCAAAGCATCCCAGGAGAGAGCCCGCCACTAAGCGAGCAACAGGAAACCATTTCCCAAAGCCTCTGACTCGGAAGATTTGTTTCAAGAAGCTTTTCCTGTCTCTAGTTCTTCAATTGTGTTGCATTTAAGAGATCATAAAAGACCTTCTTTGATCCTCGTGATTGTTCTATGGAATGCTTCTTGTCATCCCCATTCTTAGATGAAGAATATGATAGTTGGTCTTTTTAGATGAAGAATATGAAGGTCAGGGGCCAGGAGACTTCCAAGATATGTCAAATCCAAGACTAACACAATCAGGCATTCAGACTCTAGACCTTGATGTTGCTACTTCCAGTCACCTGAAGTGAGCCCAACAGCTTCTTCTCGAATGTTCTCAAAGCCAAAGAGATCTTCCTAAGTCCTCAAGGGGTGCCCAGAGCTCCATGTTTAAGGCAGTGGTTCCTCAAGTGGGTCCGTGGTCCAGGTAAGTGTAGTATCTCCAGAGAACTTGCTAGAACACTCCTGGGCCTGTTCCCAGACCTCTTGAATCAGAAATTTGGAGGGCGGTAGGGGGCAGCAGCGTGTATTAACAAGCCCTCCTAAACTTTCCAAGGTATGTGAATCCCCGAGAATCACAGCTTCTGATTCGGCAGGTCTGAGACAGAGCCTGAGATTCTGCATTTGTGTATGTGCTTTCTCATCCTTATGATTTTCTTTCTGTTTTACATAAAATTGTATTTATTTACTAAACTATATAAATTTCTGGGGTATATCTATAAGTCTCATCTCACCTACCACCCAAGTTCTAGTGCCCTTCATGTGGTCCAGTTCATTTAGACCTTCCTGGAAAAATCTCCTGGGCCATCCTCCCCCTGGCTCTTTCCTCATCCACCAATGAAATGGGGAAGTTCCGAAAACCCGGAGAAGGGCAGAGCCCTGAGCCAATACTGGGGGAAGCTGCCTGTCAGAGGCCCCCCTCAACAGAAAGTACAATTTCTAATGCCCAAGACAAAGAGAGTTGGAACTTGCATGTCACAGCGATTGGATGTCTTGGCTAACGTGGCATAGAGGGGCACCCGGCCACGCTTAACTGCCACACAAGTGATACTCAAACACTGTTCACAGGACAAAAAAAAATGTAGTGTGCTATACAAATTAAGTTATCCATCTTCTCAAGCTATATACTGTGCCTTGAACTCTCATAAGACTACACAGAATACAAGTTATTTTTGATGAATTGGCTGTTGAGGAATATGGGGAAGACATCCGGGTTTTATCTTGATTTTAAAATAAAGCTTTATGGGTACATAATATCTGCAGGTAATTTTTCTACTCTTGTTTCTCTACTATTGTTCATTGTGCTTACATTTGTCCAAGTTATCACTGTGACAAGAACCAGACTCAAAGCTCTCTCCAGCCACAGTATTCCTTCATCTGTTTTTGTTATGACAGGCCCTGGGCCTCTAAAGGAGAACACACACACACACACACGCACACACACAGAGGGATGAATTTTTGAACCCAGGAAGTGAAGACCCAGTCTATCACCTGTTTTTAAGTCAGGCTTCTTTGGAAATAAAATTCATACAATTTCCAAAAACACCTGGGAATTTACAACATCAATTCTGGAAGGCAGTAAGTCACTGAAGAATGAAGATCCAGCATGGCAAATGCCACCTTTCAAAAGAAATTACCAGCAAAATTTGAAACGTGTTAACACAAAGACATAGGAGGCAAAAGCATTTGGATCACACTGAATCATATTTCAGACCTGAGAAGGACACATGAAAAAGTTATCTAAAGCCGTGAGTTCCCCCCCAAAAAAGTGAATGGTAAGAATCTCCTGAGGCATGTGTTGAAACACAGACTCCTGGGTCTTGCCCAAATGGGCTGTGTCACTCTCTGTGAAGGGAACCTTGGAATCTGCATTCTGCCCTGGCCCCGCGGAACTCGCACTGAACTGCCAGGCTCTGCTCCCCTTCCTCTGCCCCCTCACATACACACACTCCTACCTCTAGAGTCAGTGTTCATTAGAAAATGCTCGAAGAACCAGCACTTATCTCTAAGCGGTGGAATCTGAAGTGAATGGATGGTGTTTCCACTCCTTTTTTCTTTGTCTGTTCCCCAACAACACACGCTCCTTTAGCCTTACCAAGATAGCATCATAAAGAGAGGAGTCTAAGTGTCTCCGTAGATGAGAACGGATGTTCCACAGTACTCCAAGAATGTTTGCAGGTGCCTCTGTTTAGTGCGTAACTTCTGGCAATACAGCCTTGTCGGAGCCCAAATAAAAGATATGATTTTTAATCATGGCCCAGCAGTTAGCTGAGTAAATTGTCTGTAAACGAAATGACCTTTCTGGGCTCCATTTCCTGTCGCCAAAAGTGAATGGTTTGATGAAGATGTAAAATTGCTCTTTCCTGGGCATCTTTAGGATTGCCTTTTTCTGGCAGTGCTAAAGTAGCAAAGCAACAAATTCTTAAACAGTCTTTACTATTGTTTCATCAGTGCAGTCTGTCTACAGTTCTCAGAGTACTCTTATGGCTTTTCATTTTAGGGACTTGTGTTTTTTGCCACAAAGTAACTGACCAAAAAAAAAAAAAAGAAAGAAAGAAAGAAAGAAAAGAAAAGAAAAAGCAGCTAAAGACCCAGTATCAACTTGGCGCATGGGGGCAGGAGAGCGTTCATACAGGAATCTCAGAAAATAACATCACTAATGTATGCAGTCCCCAAGCTAATAAATAATGCAGACTTAGGGCAGCGCATCAATATGAGCAGAAACAAAGTCTTGGCAAGGCTGTGGCATGAAAAGAAACCTCAAACACCGCTAGCGGGAAGGCAGGCTGGTCTGGCCCCCTGGACGACAGCGTGGAGGTACCTCAAAATATTAAAAATGCATCTAGCAGGCCCTTCCTGGTGGTGCAGTGGGTTAAAGCGCAGCACTAAGAATTGAAAGCCACTTCCGCATGAGTTCGATCCCCGCCTGCCCCGGAGGTGACCACATGGCATGGCAGACCTCTCCTGACCCGCCCGCTGCTCCCCTCAGCCGTGTACTTTGTCGATCTGCCTGTTCTGCTCCCCACTCTGTCTCTGGTGAATCCTCTCACCACCCCTGCACCTCTGGCCTGTACCCCAGTTCTGTGTGAATAAATAAATAAATCTATTTTTTAAAAAGGCATCTAGCAGACGATCCAGAATTCCACTCTACACATGTACTCAACACAAAAATACTAAGCAGAAGAGATGTGTTCACTCCGTGTTCATTACAGACTATTGACAGTAGCCAAGTTGTGGAATCAGCCTAAGTGCCCAGCGACATGCATAGATAAAGAGACATGGTACAGATCCACAATGGAATGCTTAAAGATGGTGAAACCTCACCACTGGCAATAAACATAAATCAAAAAGAGAAAGAAAGACAAATACCAGATGAATTCACCCAGGTGGAATACAGAGAAACAAAACAAAGGAACAGACCGAGCTAAACCAAAGCAAACCCTAGAGATCTGACTAGAACTGAGGCTACCAGAGAGGCTGGTAGGGGGTGGAGGAGTATGGGGCAGGGGTCCAACAGACTGTGGGTGGAGGACTATGGGTGGCTTGGTGGTGAGTGGGTTGACGTACGTCTGACGAGGTGTGATATGATACCTCTGGAAGGACGCAGTGTTGTTAACCAACGTTACCTCGTTTAAAAAAATACGATTGGCCCTCCCTGGTGGCGCAGCGGGTTAAAGCACAGCACTGAGAGTCTGAGGCCACTTCCGCATGAGTTCGATTCCCGCCTGCCGCCTGCCCCGGAGGAGACCACATGGCGAGCCAGACCTCTCCTGGCCCGCCCGCTGCTTCCCTCAGCAGTGTACTTCGTCCATCTGCCTGTTCTGCTCCCCACTCTGTCTCTGGTGAAGCCTCTGGCCGCCCCTGAGCCTCTGGCCTGTACCCCAATTCTGTATGCACAAATAAATAAATAAATCTTAAAAAAAAAAAAGTCTTTAAAAAAAAATACGATTTAAAAAAGCAAGACGCAAAATCATGACATATGTGTTGTCACTGCAGCAAGTAACTCACGCCAGACAAGGGTTGAGGCCAGTTTCTGTCAAGGTACCACATTTTCCCTAAGCCCTTTTGAGGTAACGTTCCTGAAAAGAACGTGTTCAAAGGACATGAGCAGCCTATATTTTAAGGGGAAAACAAGAACCCCAGTAAAATGCACATGGAAGGCACTTACTTCTTTCTCTCCGCACCTAATATCCTAAACAGGTCCTTAAAGTACTGTGGGACACGGACCACCACATTCTCCGAGAGGTCGAGGTCCTTCAGGTTGGGATAGAGTCTGACATCGATGACCTTCTTAATGTAGCCCAGCCAGTCAAACTGAGGGGGAGAGAGAGAGAAATCACAGCCTGTTAGGCAGCGAGCCAGGACGCAGGCCAACGGACTCAGCTGAACCTAATCCGTAGCTTGTAATCTTCGGGCAAACAATGAAAGATGCAACTGCTCAAATCCAGAGAATTAACACCCCATCACGGCCACCCAGAGCCACTGCCAGGATCGCACCTCTCCCCTCTGCCCTCCCCCGCCCTGGTTCCCATCCACCCTCGTGTCCACGCAGACACGGCTGCCCTCCATCACTGGTCTTTCTCTCGGGCAGAACCTTCCTTACACAATGCAACAAAACACCACATGGCCAATCATAGTGTCGCAACTTGGAATTTTCAATAGACTACCCCCAAAATCATTTCCCAGCTTTTTCGTATACTTGTTTCTCCTTTGCCTGTCTGTACAACTGAAATCGAAGTGGCAAACTTGTAGGTAGGGATGGCCACGTGCCCCGATTCTGCTAAGAAATGAAGGGAAGACGTTGGCTGATGTTCTGGAAAGGCTTTGATTTTTTTTCCTGATCAAACAATCAACCATGACTACCATGGGCCCCTCGCCCCCTGCTTGTGCTGACAGCAGATGTGATACCTGGATCTGTGGTAGATTGTGTGGCCCTTAGTCAACAAACGTGAAATCACCAAGGAAAATGATGTGGAAAGAATGAATTCGGGGCTTTGACAACATTGCTAAACAGCCACCTCTGTCTAGACTGTTAGTTTCGGGCCTCCCTGGGGGTCCTCAGTGCTAACACCGCTGCAGCCGCCTGAGTTCGATCCCCGGCCAGGGAGCTGACCCACACAGCGCAGCAGACCTCTCCTGTCCCACCCGCTGCCCCCCTCAGCAGTGTATTTCAGTGGAGCTGCCTGTTCAGCGCTGCAATCTGTCTCTAGGGAATCCTCTCACCGCCCCCCACACACCTCTACCCACCCCAATTGTTATATGAATAAAAAATATATAGGCTGTTAGAATTTTAAGTGATTCTTGGAAAGGTTTTCCATTCCACATAGCAGAAAGCATCCCAGTTTACAAACAAGGGATATTTTATTTGGTGATAATAACCAAGAAGTCTCATGGTAGATCTTACGAGGAAAACATTTACAAATGTGCAATTGAAATACAGTCACTTGTAAAGTGACCAGTTAAGATGACATTTTTCTAGATCGTTTTCACCAACCTGGGGAACCATAGCATTCAGTTGAGAAATGTTCATTTTGTTGTACATGGCCTCACTGGTTCGGTTTTCATGTGGAATCATTATCTGTTGGAAAGAAACCGTGGTTATGTTTTCAATGAACGATTTCTTCCCTGCGAGACTACTTTCTCCACGTGACCACACACCTGCACAGCATCGGGAAGTTCTTCAAAACCTTGGGGTAGTGTGCCACTTAGGAGAGACAGAGAGAAAGACATCACTTTAGGCAAGAACAAAGAAGTGAAAAGAAACTTTGTTACCCTGTGCAGAAGGAGACACTGTCCCCAGTAAAAAGCAGCAGCCAGAATCCCCTCCTCACCCATAATGTGGATGAACAGAACCGGCAACCAGCAACCAGCAACTGGCTCAACAGAGGCTTGACGGCTGAACAGAGACTCGGCGACCGAGGCGGACACCTCACCGTCCCCTGCCCAGATATGGTGTCCGGATAATGACCTCGCTGCTCCTGGACCAGCCTTGCATCCCTGCGGGCATGTTTCACTGCAGTGTCAGACTCTGCCACACCGCCACCCACGACCGTTCTGTCAATGGCTCGTTCCTTCACCACTCCACTGCCCTCTGGGTTTTCTTACCTAGCAATGCCGCAGCCCCGCCCCAGAGGCGGGGGGGGGGCAGGGGTCCACATTTCCAGGACCATCACCAGCGCTGGTGCTTCACTCCCCCATTCCTGATCCCCATGCTCTTGGCCAGTTTGTCAACACCAAAGCTAAATCTCTCACCTCTGCTGCGTTTTACCTGATCTAAGAGCAGTAGTCACGGCTTCCATGAACAGACAGCAGCTGCCCATGCCCATATCATGACTCGGCCCTTAAGACCCTCCCTCACCTGATTCCCTTGCCTTAAACTTGCCAACTTCCACCTCCCCCAAGTCTCTCCTACTCTTGACCCCCCATTCACCATTACCACCCCCATTGTTTGAGCTATGATGAAAGACTTTGCCCAAGAGTTAAGCTCTCTGTCAAGACTTTCCAACCGAACTGCACTTGACTCCACCCGAGGACCACGCCATTAGCAAGATCTCCCCTTGGCGCACGCCTCTCTTGCTGGATTGGTTGAATGAACACTTCCGTGACTATCCATAGCAGCTCCTATATGCTACCCCGAGCTGTGTGGTCTCCTCCACTTCATGAGTTTCCCTAGAACTGTGTATCCCACTCATTTGAATATCCCTAGAGACCTGGGGTATAACAGATGGGGGTAAGCATATTAGTTGGCCAAAAAAAAAAGTCACACACCATGAATATTTCTGAGGTAAAGTCACAGAGGCCTAGTGACAGACACCGGTCCCTCTTTTCTAAGCGCTTTGGTTTCCTCAGCTTGTCCCTCCTCAGCCTCCACAGGAGAGGCTCCCTGGGTCTTGCCAAAAGCTTCCTGGCTTTACACCAGAGTTGCTGCCTTAGACACTCTCTCCTCCTCCTTCTGCTCTTGGACTCAGAGCCAGGTTTGAGCCCTCTGGCCTCAGAGCTGTTTCCAGCTGCCTGCAGCCACCCTCTCCCTCCTTGACCCCATGGACTTGTCACTTCATCTGGCCTCTTGACAATTCCCAGGCTTGCTTCATTCCAGCTGTTTTTCGTTCCCTTTTCAGTGCACATTCCCTGGCTCAGGGCCAGGCCTTCCCAGCTATATCAGAACTTGAGTCCAAATTAGAGCTCTGGATCTCCTATTTGCCTGGGTGGGGAATGCAGGTCCCTATCCATGGCTTAGAGGCCCAGTCTTTGATCCACACCTGAAGCCATTTTCACTCCGACTTCCATGGTGACATGCAGAAATGAACTCTCTGAGCAGCAAAGAGAAACTTGTAGAAAAGTATGCATCCACATCACTGCAGCTAAGGGAGACTAATTCCTCCGAATGTTTAGCCTTTACCCCAACTATGCCGCCAAACCCCACCACCTCAACACAAAACTAAGCAATATTTGGACTCAGATACAGTTCAGGACTTTTGCCAACTTGTGATATGAGACGTGCCAACCCATGCACAAGAATTTCTTGACATTAGTGTCTTTCACTACAAGGTATTCCCAGAAGCAGATCTCATTATATTTGTTCCTTCCCTTCCTGGGAATTCTTAAACTTTGGTTCCTCCTGAACAAGTTTTTCTCTGAGCAAAGCTCGCCATTTAAGATTCCCTATCATTCTCCTTCTAGTTTGCCCTTTTATATATTTTTTTTCCTTTTATATATTTTTTTATCTCTGCCATGAGCCTAAAGGAATTTAAAACAATTTAAGAGAACATGGCATATGATACAAAGACCTTCATTTAAGTGGTGTAAGAAAAGAATGGAAAAAGAGGGCTAGGTACAAAGAAGAAACAGAAAGACAACATAAAGCCACCTACCGGCATTGGTACACTCTGACTGTACCAAGTCTGTCCAATATGGGCGGAGAGACTTTCCTAGGCCCAGACCCTAAGTCACACTGACCCCAAGTGGGAATGGTGTAGAAGATACCAGATTAAAAAATAACCTTCCACTCAAGCCAAGTTAGGAAGAATTTATTAAATATTCTCCTACTTGAGCCACACAGGACTTTCTCTGGGATTTTCTCTGGGAAAATCTAGTCAGAGGGTCTCCCTGCCTCTGTCCTTTGACCATAGCTGAGCAGCATGTGGACCCTGAATGGGCTTCAAAGAGGGAGGTGGAGGAGCAAAGAGCTCTTCTTCCTGTCATGGTTCTTCCCAGAGAGAAGTCAGGGTGGGGCAAAAAAAATATACTGCATATATTTTCAGTCAAGACATATTGCCTTTAAAATCAGGAAAAGAGATTTTCAATTATGACTTACCTCAGCCACCTTAATCTCCAGTTTCAGCACTGACTTCATGTCATGCTCTGCTCGGGATCTGTTCGCTCCCAAAAGCACGGCAGTATCCACCATGAACTTGTAAAGGGCATCCCGATACTACAAGAGAAAAAGCAGCCAATGCCCAGGACCTCAGTCTATTAGAACGGACGTCGCAGGGCCACCGAAAAGCAGAAACAATAGGTGGAAATAAAAGCCCTTCATTTTCACTCTGTGCTCACAGTGCACTCGGGTATTAAGCAACCCGACCGCCCACACTGGAGAGAAGGGTGACGGCTACTGAGGTACAATTTCCACCAGAGAACGAGAGGCCCAGCCATCGAGGACCAAAAGAATCAATGATATTATACACAAAGTATCTCCAACGAGCCCAGAATAGAAAGTCAAAGGTCAGATGTCTTCTTTCCAGGCAAGTGAAGCTTTAATAAAATAATGGCAAAGAACTGCCGTAAAAGCAGGAAGCATGGTCCAGAAAGATTGGTGGGGACGCCCAGCTCCACTGACCCACCTTCACGCCCAGAAGTTAAAGATCAGGGGTGCAAGCCCTGCCCTTCCAGTGTACCGTGCTCACAAAGCCTCCTCACATGCTCATGGGGAAAAGGAGAGAGGGGAGAGAGGGGAGAGAGGAGGAGGAGAAACGTCCTCCCTGCGTGCTCTAAACCCACTTTCAGGTGACTCCTTTGTCTCCTCAGTGGGGACCTTACCACACGGGAACTGAGGAATCTAGTCGGGGGTCACCTCTCCTGTCAGATATATTTGTGAAACTCAGTACACAGGGTATAAAATGTTCTCATTGATGTAGGAAGGAAAGCGGATTCCCTTGCCCCACGCCTTGACTCTGCAAGCTGTGCCATGTCTATGACCTTGAGACCTGTACAGGGCTTAGCATATAGCAAGTCCTTACTAAATATTTGTTCACTCACTAAGCAAGGCGTGCAAACAGTCATAATTAGAGACAATGTTTTGCAATTCCCAGTTCAATTCGAAAAATGTTTCTCCAGACAATGCATGTGCAAAACGCCTTGCTAGGCATTCTGTGCATCTGGGGGTGGCGGGGAATACAGATGAAAAATGAAATACCGCTTGAGCCCAGTTCTCAGTGTGTGATCCAGCAAGGGAGATAAATGTGTAATGACTAACTGGAAGATTAGAAGACCAAAATAAGTTCTTTAATACAGCTGCTAAGCGCTTGGAAACACAAGTTCTGGAGAAGAATTCCAGCCTCGGGAAACCGAGAACAGAGCATGTGAGGGCTTCAGAAGCAGTGAGGAGTCCTTCGTTGGGGAAACAATAAAGTAGATGAACCAGCGAAGGCGCTTTGGGCTCATGAAGAGACCTTGAACTACCTCTGAGGAATTTAGTTCACAATTTTGTGAGGAAAAGTGTGATTGGGGATGCTTTGGAGTAAAGAGGAGAACGGAACATTTCAAAGGCTAATTGCTGGAATCAAGCAGAGAGTGAAAAAGGGTTTGGCCTAGGGGGTGAGGCCAGAGAGGAGGCACCGAGCAGAAGAGAGATTTTGAAGGTAGAATCCATAGGGCTTGGGTCATTGGTTTGGAAGGGAGGAGAGGGAGAAAAGATTCTAAGCCTAGTTGCTGTTAGCATGGTGACCCCAGCAGAAATAGAAGTGCCCCCAGATTGACAAATTTTCATTCTATCCACTTTCCAGAAAAGAAATATGCCAACCCTCTTTGCTGAGTGTCCTTGACCAGAGCGTTGCCTCAGATCTTGACTAGTTTCCTGCTTTCCACAGCCTTTGAGACACAGGGTTTGGGGTCAGCAAGGAGCAGGGACTTCTTACTGTGAGTTAGCACTTTTCAGTCTGACATTATGCCCTCTCCAGATGGGCCAGAAGCCAGAGGTCCTGGGCTAGGGTTCCTGGGGTCTAGGGTTCCTCTGGAAGTTCACCAAAGTTCACCCAGCTCTAATCCAGTCTCCAGGGAACCCCAGTACTAGGTTTCCAAGGTCATCTATCCTGCTTGACCTGGCTCTCATTAATCTTCTGTTAACCTGGAGCACCTATTACGGTCACACATTTCTGCTCCCCCACTTCCAATCTACTACAACAGACGCTCCAGAGTTGTGACCCCAGAATGCACATTTAATAGAAGCCCCCACGCAATTCTTAGCGCTGCTGTTCGAGAAGCATTAGTCCTGGGCCCTCCATCACTGCCCACGCTGTCCTTGGGCAATGGGAGTGATCCCCGCACTTCTAGAGAATGGCCACAAGCTCATTTCTGGTTATTTCACTTGGGTGGACTACCTCCACAGCCCAACCACCAGGCCACTGAGCATGCGGGCTCGCCCAGCCTTGAAGCCCAGACCCCCAGGAAACAGAGAAAGGCCTTTATCTGCATGAGTAAAAGGCCTCTGCTTCCGGTGCCGGGAACCTAGTTATCAGAGCCACTCTGCTCATCGCCAGTAAAGCTGGGGAATTTGGAACAACTTGTGAGCCCAAGAGCAGCCTGACAAGGCGCAGAGTTGAATAAAACTTACGGACTTGGCTTCCGTGCTGTTTTCAAGGTAGTCTTCCCTCACAGCCAGGGAGAGTGTGGCTTGGTCCAACTGTTGAAACAAAAGCAAAGCATTTTGCTTGCTCTGGGAATTCTATGGCGCGTGTTAGCAAGACCCATGGGATTACCTGTGTCCCCCATGTGCTGACCTTGTGTCCCATCACAAACACATCTTACTGTTGTCAGAGGAGTTGCTGAAACTACTCATCAGTGACGACGGACATTACAAAGTATCAGACACCTTTACCCCGATGCACGGCTTCAGGCCCTATTGAGGTTCTATCAAGAACTGAAGAGCACTCGCACTCAATTTATTGGGGTGCAATATCTTACTGGTTTCCCACTCATTTGATGGGTGGAAGAACAAAAGCCAGAGCAATGACTGGCTTTCCCAGTAACAAGATCAGGCAGCGCTCAGAGGAGAATCATTAAACCCGTCTCCAGATCTCATATTCTTATTGCAATATTCAAATCGCAGAACATTTCTTGAAAAGTTTAGGATAGGTAATAATATTATGATAAATAATAATGACACAACTACTAGCCAGAATTATTATTATATAGAAGCATAGCATATAATTTCTTGAATGAAAACTTTCAGCACCTTAAAGGCCACCAGATGTGCTGGAACCCTTAGACAACTATATGCCCCAATCCATAACTCATACAACATATAAAAACTAACTCAAAATATAGCACATATCTAAGTGTAAAGCCTAAAACTATACAGCTTCCAGAAGAAAATGTCAGAATCAACCTCTGTGACTTGGAGTTAGACAAAGCACTCTTAGATATAACACCAAAGTCATGATCCATAAACTGATCTTCATCACCATTAAAAACACTTGGTCTGGGACCCTCCCTGGTGGCGCAATGGGTTAAAGCACAGCACCATGAAGCTGGAGGCAACCACCTCACGATTCGATCCCTGGCCAGGGGGGTATTCCACATGGCGTGGCAGACCTCTCCTGTCTCACTCGCTGCCTCCCCTCAGCAGTGTATTTCTGTAGATCCACCTGTTCTGCTCCCCACTCTATCTCTGGTGAATCCTCTCACCACCCCTGCACCTCTGGCCTGTACCCCAGTTCTGTACGCAAAAATAAATAAATCTTTTAAAAAAAAAAAAAACCTTGGTCGGGATGGCACACAGGTTATTTGGTGATTGGAAGCCCACAGGGATTACAACTGAGATAGGAAAAGGCACAAAATGATGTAAAAATCAAGTATTATGTTATTTAAAAAAAAACACTTGGTCTGTGAAAGAGCAGCTGCTGGGAGCATGAAAAGAAGAGCTACAGAGAAGAAGAAATTTGAAAATTTCATGTGTGCCAAAGAACTGGTATCCCAAATATATAAAGAGCCCTCAAGGCTCAACAATAAGAGGGCAAAAGATTGGACATTTCGTTAAAAATACACAGAGAGAAAATAAGCACATGAAAAGGTGCTCAATATCACTAGTCCCTAGGAAAATATAAATTAAAGCCACAGTAAAACTACTACCTATGTATTAAAATGGAAGAAAAAAACCCTGAAATCCTTAGCGCTGGAGAGTCGGTGAAAAAAGTAGATCACTCATCCCTCGCTCATCAGAATGCAAATGGCGCAGCCACATCAGAAACCAGTTCAATACACACTCGAATATGACCAAATAATCCTATTCTGGGTAGTTATATAAGAGAAATGAAATCATATGCCCATATAAAAGCCTGTATGCAAGTTCATTTATAATTGCTAGCAACTGGAAGCAACCCAAATGCTCTTCGGGATAGTATGATATACCACTGAACAGTCCTCACTTCTGAGAACGAACTACTGAGGCATGCCACAACACAAATGTTTTTGGCTCACACCATAAGAGAGTCAGAACCACAGGGAGAGAACAGGGTTAAGGGGTGGGGGTGGGCAGAATGGCTGATGTCACTGGGGGGAAGTTGGTGGAACTAGTCTCCCTGAATATGGCAGCCATGACATGACTATGCATTTGTCCACACGTGCGGACATGTCCATCATGAAGCGAACTAGCTGGATGCAAACTTGAAAATAAATTTAGGAAAGGCATCCAGAGTCTTCTCTAAATATGGTATGTTCTCTCTTGAATATCAGCAACAGCTTAAAGACTGAATAAAATGGACCCAACAGCAGATTTTCTTATTTAAATCGAATTCACACATTTACACATTTAAAAGTTAAGTCAAATTAACAGGATATGAAATCTAAATTACAAATCAAAAGTTAGAAGCATCTGAATAAAAAAAACTGGATCCTACATGCCTGCCTTATTAGTCTATACAACTTTAGATTGTTTGATCTACTCTAGTTTCTTTTTCACCTCACTAAAAATCTCAAGCGTTTTCTTTTTATGATAGCCCATGATAGGTTTTTTCACACCTCTCATGCCATAGTTCATAGGGAATGGGTTCCAGCAGCTCAGGCTTCTTTCCATGGCTCCTAACGAAGTGTGCTTCTCTGGGTGGGGCAGGCCAGTGCTTCAGCTGAGCAGATACATCTCTTTGGCTTCCTTTTTTGCCCTGATCATTTTCTTTCACATGTTTCAGGAAACTATGTTGGTTCTTAGATTAAGATGCCAATACAAACATTAATTCTCTTGGCAAAAGTCTTGCCCTTTACTTGTTTGTTCACAGCAATGCCAAATGCATGCTGGGTAACATTGTAGACACTCTCGGTTTTGACATGGGTCATTCTGTTTGAACAGTGCCCATCCCATTGATATCCACCTTCCTTTGGATTCACAAGGATGGGGCCAAAAGAGTAGCTCCGTGTCTTCTACCGGCCTGAGGAGCAGACATCAGGTATCTCTCCTCTTTCCCTTTGCCTAGGTCTTCTCAGTGACTTAGGGGAAGATGGCAGCTCTGGCCAAGAGGCAAATATTTTCTTTTTTAATGTATAAAATCAGTACAGAATCATAGTTTCCCATGAAAATCTCTTCTTTATACAGAAAAAAAAAATTCTACAAAAGTCAAACTAAGAGTTAGTGAGGCTAGGGAAAATGCAAGGAAATATATAGCTCTTGTTCCAAGGGGGAGAAATGGTACTTTCATAATATCCATCTTGTCTGTATTAAAATCCTCAGATTACTGTGTTCGATCTCTTTCTCTCTAATTAGCCCAAAACAGCCAATTCATAAGCCAACCCTCTGCGATTCTGATCTACCACCAATTTTCTTCCAAAAATTAAGAAAGCCAGGTTTCTGAAATATAATACTATGATTAAGATTCTTTGGTATTCAATTAGATGTGAGCCACGTGGAGAATATTTCAAGGAAAATCTCATAGGAAAAGAAATTGTAGACAATGTCAAGAAAGCCAAAGTTTCCCTCTGATGAAGTGAAACCCACTTATTGTAAAAAGTTTAGCTAATTCAAGTGAAGCTACAGATATTTTCTAAAGCTCCAGGTTGTAACAGTGTCCAGGGAACGTTTTATACACCAGATAGACCGATTGAGGTCAGTTGACTCCATACCATTAGAAACATAAAAACTCTTGAGGAACAAGATGTTCCCGGGGGGCCAACACTAGGACCCTATGATTTGGGGAGGGGGTGATCCTTGCATGCACAAATGATCTGAATACTGCAAGCTAAAGGTAAAATGTGTTTGTAGAAAATCCAATTAATTGAGCTGAAAATACCTTTGTCCTCCAATGACAGTAAACAGATGAGGAAACAAAGCGATAATACAGACAGAAACTTCTAGTGACACATGATATAGGAAAAGGAAAAGACAGGCGTTAGAAAACCTTCGTCTCCAAAACAGTCTTTCCTTGCCACTGGATTTTGCTAGAAGTCAGACAAATGCAGGCCTGAGTGAAGATAACTTTCAATCATCCTCTCAGTAACACATTGTGAAACAACTCTTGTCTTCCAAACACTCTTTGGAGATCACATATATTCAAGACTGTTATTGTGCCTTAAAGCCGCACTCTCGTTATCGCCTTCCATAAAATAAGCACAAACACATGGAACAAGACAGGTTTGCGGCCATCAGCTTCCGCTGCTTCCTGTATTGTTTGTTTCCTTCCTCCATTCAAGCCTGTGGAGAATCCTGTGCCATCTCACCACAGGGAGTTTTGCAGAGGGACATCGTGGGGGTCTGTGCCACCCTGCTTTGCCACGCTGCATGTCTGGGTGTGGGGGCACATGGCCCCTTGGAAGTGTGTGTCTTTTTCTTCACCCAAAGGTGCCACCTGCTCACCCAGTTGTATGTCTCAGGGGAGCTCTTTTCTTACCCCCATAGCTTTATAGCATTAGAAAAACTAAGAACATTGAGGAAAACAGAACTTGATGGAAAAGAATGTCTCAGTACAGTGAGGGAGGAAAGTTTGGGGTAGGAGAGCATGCTCTCCCAGAGCACAAAGAGAAAGAAGTCAAAGATTCTCAAGAGCTGAGGGACCAGTCATTGCCCTCAGGAAGTGACCCGACTTGAGAGGCAATGGAAGCCAGGGTCCCTGCAGCCGGGAAATCGCGTGAAGGGGCCACGGGGGCTGACACAGCACATGGCCCACACAGCTTAATTATTTACTACCTCATCCTTTCCAGAAAAAAATGCCAGCCCCTGGCAGCCACGAAAAGTAAACTCCGGTGTACAGATTTTGAAAAGTTGACTTGCATCAGAGAGGGTAATACACTCTGAAGGGTTATGCAACTTGAATACCAGTATGTCATTAATATTTTCTGGTTTGACGAAGGACAGAATTAGGGGAGAAACAAAATCTCTGGCTGAAACTCTTCATAATTACACAAAGTAACTAGAGAAGCAAGATAAAAGAACTGCAGCACCAACCAATTTGAAAAACGTTATTTGAATTCTTGCCAGGGTCTTGCATTGATTAATCTTTCATTGTTGGTAGTTTCCTGATAGTCTCCTGATATTCCCAATATAATCACTCAGCCCAGAGTCTGTCTACCTGGCCCACTCTATTCTGTAAGAGATGCTGACTCTCCCAGCCAAAAAAAAAAAAAACACAATGAAACACTCAGGACAAGCTTTGCTTTATCTTTGGGAAGGAAAGCGGAGAGATTGTGACTGAACTCCATAATTAAAGACTCAGCCAGTTTACACAGGTTAGCGAAGAGGGAGCAAGGAAGCCGGGCCCATGATCTCACCTGTGTTGAGGGCAGTTAGGAAGTGAGGGGAAGGGCAGAGTTCAGACAGTCTTTGCAGTTCTGTCCCCACCAGAATTTGGGGGTGCACCCATGCTCTGTGTGGATATTGGAGGGCTAGAGCACAGATCACTTGAAACTCACTGATCAGCTTCCTGAAAGCTGACAAAGCTGAGCTGGTCATGATTTACATTCTGCAACGTCTGGAGCTGAGGGCATAGCCCAGACCCTACTATTCACGAAGGCAGTATGAGTCTCTTTCCTCGGAGGCGCCCCTCCCTCCCCACCCCCCAGTAAAGGTAATCTTGGACTGAACACGATGAACAAGGCCCCACTGTACCTTCAAGATGTGTTCCTTGGACACCTTGTCATCAGGGGACACGTACAAACGGATGAACACAGAATTGCTGTACTGACCACGAAATGTGGCGAGTGTCTGCAGAAGGCTGAACTTTCTCTCTGACCAAACCCCTTCAGGGCCAATGTTAGATTCCAGCACAGGCCAGCGGAAGGGTGAATGCCGAAGAATGTGGAGCAGCGGCTTGGCGTCTGCTTTTTCTATCGCTTCTGAAAGGGAACAGATAGGAAGGGAGAATTAGAATTGCAAGCTGGATCACCAAACCAGAGCTCAAGTGTGTCTGCTCGGGAGAAAACAGTCTGAAGGCCCTGCCTGGACACCTCAGCTATTCGCGAAAAGTGGGTTAGAATGAGCCAGAACTACCTGTGACTCTCACTTCAATGACTATGCAAACCTGGGACTCTGGCCAGGAGAGCTGACCAGGGACCCTGCGCAGAGTGCCTGCAATAAAAGACGGGCCCACTGCGTTGACCGCAGTCAAGGAGATGACAGGCTGAGTGACCCTAAGAGACTAAGAACAACACTAACTGAAGGAAACAGCCTGACAGAGCCAGTCACTCCCAGATGGCGGTGATGTATGCTTGAGACCCTCTCATCATCTCTTACCGCCCCGTCTAGCTCACCAAATAATACCCCAAATCCTAAACTAGCTAACATGCTTCACGGGAGCTCTGGCTTCTTCCTGCAGTATCTTCCAGAAAGCAGGTCAAGTGAAAGGGCAAGTGTCTCTTTCAACTCCAGTCAGACCCAAGATTCTGAAACAGACCCACGGCACAGAGGCCTGTTGGGCAGATGAAGCTGGAGGAGCCTGATCCCCGGGATTCTGTACTTCGCTGGGCCCCCCGCTGGGGCACAGCAACACTCCTGAGTGTCCTTTCCAAGGCTCTGCATTCTCACTTCTGTACCATAAAGTGGGGCTTGCCCTTCTGAATCCACCCAAGTTTCTTGTGGAGGAATTGCTACCCCAAAAATCCAAATCACAGAAATAAAATTTTCTTCATCAAGCCAAAAACAGAATATTAGCTAAGACAGGGCTAGTGGAAACCCACTCTTTGAGAAGTGTTACTTTCCTTTAACAAGACTTTTTTTTTAGGCACTGACGGGATTCTTAGTTCTGCTTTTTCTTAAACAATATCATTTGAACATTAAGAAGGATGATTAAAATTTTATTTATTTGGTTCAGTACTCACTCTCATTCATGCAAGAGGAATAAAGGACTTTGGCTTTCTGGATGGCTTCAGTGTCCCGCCTTCTACTGATTGATTTCTCCAAAAGTGCTAGAAAGGTTAAGAAAGGGTTCATTAGTATCCATCCACACATGGTGCCAAGTTGGAGGTCATTTGATGATCACAGTCCTGACCTCCAGAAAATTCCTTGTAAAGACAGACAACCCTGGAAAAGACACATCTATAACAGATATGCAGAGAGCAGAACCAATTGCAAGTTGCTTGAGGTAAATAAAACAATTTAACATTCTCTTCTTCCAAGGTTCTCCTAACTCAAAAAAGTTCAAAGAAAAGAAAGTTCAATTTCCATCTGAGAGTGGACCTTCTGCAGGGGTTAATGTTTTCTGCCACCTACACAAAAAGAAACAGGACTCATTTATTCAAGAACCAAAAATAACTGAATTCTGTTCCTTGTCTCTGCACTGAGTAATATTCTCAACAGGCAATTTCATCAGGGTCAGGTTTCTTAAGATTTCTTCACAGTCCAGCCTCTCGGGGAGGTCACCTGGAAGAAATTTCCCATTAAAAGTTTTATTCAATGGTGCATAAACATGCTGTGGACATGGAAGAAGCTGTTTAGACAGGAAATGGAAAGGCAAGACTGGAAAGCCTACCCAAATTGCCTGTTTACACATTCAACGTCCTGGCAATACATTTGAGGCCCTGTATATAACATGGCTGCCAAGGGAGACTTGAGTCCACCTGGAAGAGGATTTTCTCTTTATGATATCACTGATGCAATTTCTTGAGGTGGAAAATGACAGCTGTCGCTATTCATTAAATAAGAGGAAACCCAAGACTCAACAAAAAACAACCCTCCCACCCAGAACACATTAGAGGTCGTTGGGAGTATCAATTTAACATTGTGAAGCCAGGACCAAGAATCCCTAGGCAATGATACAGCCCTACAGCAGGCTACATCTAACTACTTTTGTCAAGACATTGGCAACCTGTTTCTGAAACGACCTAGCTGCCTCCAAATGGTGACACAACAGCTGCTCCTAAGGTACTTTGAACAGTTCAGGACACGCTATCAGAGCTAATCAATTCAATAGTTACATATGTCCTAATGAGAAATCTACTTAACTACAGGTTCTCCATTTCCAGGGAAACCACCACCCACAATTCCTGCCCACTTTTTTATAAGCACCTGAATATCCAAAAGACTGGAAAACTGGGTGCATTCAAAGAAATTGTGCTGCATGTGGGCGTTTTCAATTATTTCAGCTTGTTTGGCATTTCTTTCTTATTATCAGAACAACAAAAGTGGGATAACTGGCCCCAAGGCTGAAGAAAGGAGATTGCATTTCTGTAATCAGCTCAAAGCCCTGAAGCCATACCCACTCATGTGATTTCCATTCAAAGCGGACGTGTGCCTTTCCGCCATATTGCTGCCGCCAACTTTGGACTGTTGGGGGGGCGGGGGCAGATTTGGAAATAAATCATCCAAATTTCATTTAGGGTCGTGATGTTGTTTCAGTGCTATAAAGATTCCACAGGCTACAAAGTTGAAGGCACTGGGGACAAAAACAAGTCAAGGGAGCAAAAGACCTCCAAGATTAAGTGTTCGTGGGGTACACTGCAGGCAGGCAGCCTGCATCGCAAGGAAGGGAAAGGAGGACACACATATGCAAAGCAGGGAATCCCTAAGCCCTAGCCATGCACAGACAGCAATAGCTGTTCGTGCTAAAATGTTTGTTCCGGGCCTCCCTGGTGGCGCAACAGGTTAGGACGCAGCACTGCGAGCCAGCCGCAGCCGCTTCATGAGTTCGATCCCCGCCCCAGAGGTGCTCCACACCGCGCGGCAGACCTCTCCTGACCCGCCCGCTGCCCCCCTCAGCAGTGTACTTCGTCAGTCAGCCTGTTCTGCTCCCCGCCCTGTCTCTGGTGGGTCCTTTCACCGCCCCTGTCCCTCTGGCCTGGGCCGCAGTTCTGTACGTATAAATAAATCTTTTTTAAAAAATTCTTGTCTCGCCCGAATCCTGCTATCGTGATCTCTCTGTCATCCCCTCGCCCCTGCCCTCTCCCTTTCTTTGTGCCCATGCAGGTGGAAGAGCACTGACATGCAGACAGCGAGGTGGCAATCAGCTGGCAGCCTCCCCCTGTGCAGCTCTGAGTCAGTTAGTGATAAAAGAATAAAATCTAGCCTAGAGAGTCAGTAATAATGAGGAGAAAACAAAGCCTGCCTGTGGAAGGCAAAAGCTCAGGTTATTAAAATATCCCTAAAGCACTGAAAATCCATACAAGGGCATTCCCGTCACAATCTTTGTTCTCTGTTGGAGGATTTCTCAACTCCCTGCTCCCGTTCCTCATAGTGTGAACCATGTCACAAGAGAAAAGAAGACAGCAGTTCATAGAAACCTATAGTGCAACAAGCCTCAGACTTGAAACTGTTCTCTGGACATGGATAGACGGACGGATGGACGGATAGACGGACGGATGGACAGACGGACGGACAGACGAATGGATGGGTAGGTTCGGTAGACAGAGAGTCAGACAGACAGTGTCTGCAGATTTTAATGTGGTAACACTGACTTCCGAGCAACGCGGCCACACCCACACCCACAGCAAGTGGCAGCCCCTGGGCAGCGCAGGGGAAGCCCTGGCGACTAGCGGAGACCACGTGTGCATTCTCAAGCCTCTCCTGTCGCGACCTGGCTTCTCCAGTGGTGCTTAAAAGCCGCCTTGGTTCATGGTTGAATGTCACCTCTAATCTTGCTATTTTTAGTCCTTGTTGATTTTCCAGGCTACAGACTTCAATTTGGTCTCCAGGCTTCTGGGTTTATTTACCGTTCTGAGAAAGTTCGTTTTTCTGACTCACACTTCATGGGTATTAAACTCTTATAGAGTTAGACCAGGAGACTGTCCATCAGCTTGCAAAGCCCGTTGTTATTCTCATTAAAAAATAAAAGTCAAGTTAATGACGACGTCATGGTCTGCGGAGCCCATAACCCGCATGTCCCCCACGGATTGTGTGACACTCGACTTCGTGGGTCCCCGGCCCCATCGCTGCTCAAGCATGGGATTAACTGAGTCTGTTTGACATACTGAAAAGACAATAAGAGCTGATATTTCTCATTCTGCTGGAAAACTCCCACTTAAATACAGGGAGAGACTGTCAGAACTTTTCTCTCTGTTCATTTTTTATGATCATCTTATAAATGATAATTGGTTGGCATCAGCTTAAGGAAAGGGGGCAGAGTATTTTAGGGGCATTAAAAACCTCTAACTCATCAATCTAAATCGTGGGTCACCAAAGACATAAAAATAACCCTCCTTTTAATACAAAAGACCTCTTTGTCCATAATGGAATCAATTTTATAAAACTGCCAGACATTTCAAAAGTCTAACTCTTGTATTATGCTCACTAATAACTGAACTTATAGGAATTACACTTATCAGGGTTACACTTCAAAATAATTTAAATTAAATGTTAACATTACTCTTTGATAGCATAGCATCACAAGGAATCTGCCAACATGGTATTTGCACTCATAAAAATAGTCTTGCTAGTTAGATAATATGTATCTTAGCAGATGTAAGGGTTGTGTGGGAATTAAAGTCATTAGAATCCATCTACAGATTTTTAAAAACTCTATTTCCCCGTCTCTTGTTTCTACCACCTCAACGTTATAAGGAAAAGGCCATGTATACCACATGCCCCTGCAGGGGTCCTTCCTGAACAGTCCTGAGACGTCCAAGGGCCCAGTGACGACAACACTCATTTATTACGCACCTGCTGCGTGCCAGGTATACTGTACGTGACCTCCATCAGCCTCCCACCACGCCATAGAGGCATGGATCATTAGCCCCATTCTAAAGGTGTAAAAACCAGAACCTGTCCAAGGAATCTCAGGTGCTGATGGTTAGACCTTAGATTCAGACCCAGGACTCTGACTCCTGCTCATTTCACCATTAAATATATAGTTGTTTTCCTAGGTGAGAACAAGGCCCCCGGGAATTTTTTGACTGATCTTTTAGTCAGAACTGGAAGAAAGGCCCTTCTTTGTTACATAAAGGCTTGCTTTTTTGCAGTGGTGATGTGACTCTGCATTGAATCCTCTAACCCCATGCCCTGTCGCCCGATTTGAGACCAGGGACACATGCCTCTGTGGCACCTGGCCAGAAGTGGGAGGCCTGGAGAAGTGAGAGCAGAACCGGGTTAGCCAAGCCCTCGGGCTGACTTCAAGGCATGCCCTAGTCCCAGCGCAGTGGTTTCTAAAATTCAGTGCACATCAGAATCATCAAAAGGCAAGTTAAGACACAGAGCGTGGGGCCCTTCCCAGGGTATCTGGAATGGGGTGCATTAACTTGCATTTCTAACAAATTTCCAGGTAATGCCAATACTACGTGCCAGGGAACGCGCTTAGAGAACCTCCAGTTTAAACCAACAGTATTCGCCAGCACTCTTCCTACGCCCCCCTTTCTCTACTGCAGTGCTCTGGACCATTAGCACCAGTCTTTGGGGATGGATACTTGAGAACCCAGGACACATCAGAGCCTAGAACTCCTCCTTCCCTCTTCCCCCTGTCACCCGAACTCAACTCAAGAGCGTTACTCTTTTCTTTTTTGACTTCTTCATTCTGCAGCTCCATTTTAATTCTATGTGGGTATTGTTCAAGGCGCGCACTGCCGGGTTTGGCTTGGTTCTGGACACTCTCCTTGCTTCAGCTCATTTTGGTCCAAGCTAGTTCCTCAGTTCTACAAAGCACAGTGTTAGAAAATCCCTTTCCCAGGCCCTCCCTGGTGGAGCAATGGGTTCAAGTGCAGCACTATGACGCTATTGCAGCCACTACAGCACACGAGTTCGATCCCCGGCCAGGGATCTGTGTCCTACATGGCGTGGCAGACCTCTCCTGACCCGCCCACTGCTCCCCTCAGCAGCATATTTCAGTACATCTGCCTGTTCTGCTCCCCATTCTGTCTCAGGTGAATCCTCTCACCTCCTGCACCTCTGGCCTGTACCCCAGTTCTGTCTGTATGTATAAATAAATCTTAAAAAAAAAAAAAAAAGGTCCCTTTCTCGAAAAGGAAAAATACTGGATGGTTTC